TTCGCACACATACAAAGGTATGAAACGGAGGCAAACACCAATCTGAATATAGCTGATATTTATTCGCTGAATACTGTCCCCATTAATAACATCATGCTCGTTTTTCTACTGAAGAAAATAAGCTTTTTTTTTTTTCCCCTCAGAGTCCCGATGGTCTCAGAGTCTTGCGATAAGATCCGCGGTTACCAACTCAGAATTTGAACGTTCAATCAAAGCTCAAAATTGTAAAGCTCGTGCAATTACTCTAAATCTAATCATTAAAAACTTACTATTACAAAACAAATATAAAAAATAATTGTATCATTCAACTAAAAAACAAATTAATATTAAATAAATATGCGATCAAAATAATAAAGACAAAAAGTTATATCGTCTCCTCTAAGCACGTGGTTAAAGATAAATCGTCATTCCCACAAAATAAAAACGAAACTTTACAAAACATCGTTATTGCCACAAGCGAAAGTATCACGTATGACATAACATGACTGAGTCTACATCACCGTGAATTATGTGATCCCAAGATAGCAGCTACCTAGAGATGCTCCTTTCTTGTGACATCACTTCCGCCGTCCAGTTTCCTCCGGCTACTATAAACGTATTTGAAACTGGACTCTAATCATTAAGATGATGAACTGGGACTTCCTCCTTGTTTACATTAAGAAATAAGATTTAAAAAAAAAAAAAGATCTGTGGACCGTGAAGAAAATGTAGGTTGAAAAATGTATGGATTATACCAGCACCCCCTTGAGTTAAGTTCTAGGGGGTGTTGGCCTAGTGGACTTCTTGTGGCGAACGAAGAGAAAGACTTAAGTGCTATAGAATGTTCAGTTAATTTTTTTATGAGGAAGCAATGATACATCACAGTGGTTCTGAAACTGGTACGACCAGAGAAATAGAAAACATAGAATAAAACACAACTAGAAAAGTCAGGGTGATAGGGATAATTTTTTTTCTCTGGTTATCTGACAAATTTATTAATTATTGCTGCCAACTGATATTTTCCTTTGGCATATTACTTACTTATATTTATTTTGCGTTATTTGAATTTGTTCCCTTAATATTTTTGTAAAACGTAACAAATTTCTTTCTTCCAAAATAAATAAATTTAAGAGTTATTTACGATCACTTCTGTTTTTCCATAATTTTATTAATAATTACTGCGTTTATCTCATTCTTTTTTTAGTTGTATATTTTAAAAATAAATCTGCATTTCACGTAGACTATATTAAGAATTTTTGCTTTTGTTTGCCTTTATATGCATAATTTAAAGGACAAAAAAGTCTAATTAAAAAATGAGACCTCCAAATTAAGGCTGTCTCTGTTAAAATGATGATTATGAAATTATGTTTGAGCCCCTGAAAAATAATTTTGTCTTCTGTATGAGATCTTCATTTGAGACGTTGAGTAACGTCTTTAACGTTTCTTTCATTTGAGAACTTTCTCTATCTTTCGTCTAACCAGGTTAGAGCGAAATAGTATTGCACGAATGCCAGGTTATAAGAGAATTGTTCCCAATTTCTGCTTCTTATAAAAAACTGCTTGTACTAATAACAAAAGGGAATCCTCTTTTTTAAAGAAAACTATGAGGATTCATAATTTCTTAACTCAATAACTAAGATTTAAACCTGTTATTACGAAAAAGAACTAAAAACAATTGGTTCCAATTCTTTTCAATTATATTTTTATTAGTTATCCTTGAATAAATCTTTGAAAACAAGCTATAAACTTTCCTCACAGACATTTAACAACAACAACAAAAAAAAGGCCTAATCATTCTTAGCACTTGACAATGTTAAGAAGGCAAAATTTTGAAGATGTTACACAGAAATTCTAGTTTGTACATTATTATATTCATAAGAATATAAAATACGTATGTTTCTTATTCTTTTCACGTCGCATATGTTATGTTACAGATGCATGTTGGCCCACCAGCGGCCGAGCGGTAAAGTCGCTGAACACTGGTAGTTCGGTCCGAGGTTCGAATCCCGCGAAAGGGGTGGCTGCATGGGCGTTTTCGTGGTTTTCCCGATGTGTAAGGTGTATGCAAGCCAGTTTTCCTTAGAAAGTCCTCCACGAAGGCATCTCTCTCCTTAGGCAGATAGCCCTAGTGTACTTTGCCATAATTATATACAGCAAACAGATGCATGTTTTGTTTGGAGACATGTAAGAGTAGGAGTTAATTTATTCCATTTTTTTTTATATTTGCTCCATAGATATGAAGTTGCTATAAACCTGAACTTAATTTAGAAATACATTAACCTCAACCTTAATTAATATCAATTTCAACTTAATTTAGAGATTGCTCCTTTGAGCTTTTCAGTTACTATTTACACCTTTCAACATCAAAGGTCCTCGAGATCAACTGTAATTTCAAAACTTGAAGCCTCCTTAATTCACTTCTCTGGCAAAGGATTTGGTGGAATCTTTAGAAACATGGAATTGTGTCTTTTACATCTACGCGTCTCCGGATTACTTAATGAATAGATTTTCTTCCATTAATGATCCAGACCTTCTCTCCTAAAGAAAATAATAAAATGTGCATCCCGACGTGCATCATTTTCAAATGCGTCTTCCTGATAAGAAGCTCATGCATTCATTGCTTTCCAGGAAGAACAATAAGAAATCTGAAATTCTGTATCTCATTTCTCTGCATTAATTTTGTCTAAATTCTTAAATCCCTCTTCCTTCTTGAAGATATTTAATGACATCAAACCTTTAATGTGCTCTTCTCTTAAGACATCATTTTAGATAGTTTTGAAAATCATGCCCTTTTATTATTAAAATTACAACAGTACACACAATACCGCAGTACAGTTGTTCCTAATAGATTACAAAGGTATCTAGAGATTTTTATAAAAAATACATTGTTTTGAATTATAGTTCAAATATACCCTTGGCCATTTAAGTGAAAAAAAATATGACAATTAAGAAGGAAAAGACTATAAAAAGGGAATAAATATCCGAATAATTTTACTTACAAAATAATAAGCCTTCAGAAAAAAAAAAACATAAATCAGTAAATTTATAGCATTGAAGCAAATTCCTTTTATTGATTTAGAAACATTTATAACACTTTCTCTTCATAAAACAGTACATAAGCATAATAAGATATTCATTATAAATATACAGGGTGCGGCAGCGAGTGATATGGATCGGTGGAGTGCACAGTGTCGTGCTCTGCTGTTGAAAGTTATTTCAAGAATATCTACTCTGTTAATGCTACCAAGCGTCTATTTCGTCAACATTTCAACTTGGGACATCATGGGAAAGTTCCAGATGGACGGACCATTGCGACAGACATTTCCAGGCATAGCAATTTCCCGTTTTGGTGACATTTCCTGGCCGCAGTGGCGTAGCCAGGGTGGGGCAAGGGGGGACATCTGTCCCCGGGCGCAGCATCCAAGGGGCGCCAAATTGATGCTACGAAATTTTTAATGAAATGTTTTCCATTCTTGGCACACAGAAAGGGGTGCAAATTTCTTCAGTTGTACCCGGGCGCTGAAAGTTCTAGCTAAGCCCCTGCCTGGCCGCCTCGTTCACCTGATTTTTCATGTGCAGATTTTTTCCTTTGGGGCCACCTGAAGCAAGAAGTTTTCCGAACACGCTGTGCCACCATTCCTGAATTGAAGGATCGTATCAGAAGTGCCATCGGCAATGTCTCAGGGAACACATTACGCCGAGGTATGACAAGCTTCCAACGTTGCTTAGATGAATGTGTTGTGCAGAGGGGGCATCATATTCCAAAAGTAATCCACGCAATAGACAATGACTTACACATTAGTAAATAGCATGCCTTTAACTATTAATTGACATAAGAATTAATAAATAAATTACAGTTACTGCCTTATGGTGTGTTTTTAATATCCTACTATGAACGCTGCCGCACCCTATTTTTATCATTTCTGGAAATATGCAACTAAGTATTTTTTTAACTTCAGGTTATTTACTGAACTTAGCATACATAGAAAATTTAATTTTTAAATGTAATAAGCAAATTGTTAAATATGACACGTATTTTGGCTTACCTTTTAATAATTCTAGGACATACAAAAGCTGTCGTGTATCCATATGCAACAAAAGATCCCATGCTTAAGAAAGTTTTTTAAAAATATTGCAATGACAGACATCCTTGCAAAACTCACAGGAGTAGCAGAATATAGGTACTTTCGCCTCAGACGAAAGCACAAAAATTTCTGGGACCTTGTATATATTATTTTCGATTTTTTACAGTATGATACTGTATCAAATCTACGATAATGTATAAAAAATATGCCATTGCGAAAAGATATGCCAAAGTTATTAGTTCTTCTTAGTTATTATTTAGACTTCATCTGTGGCCGATAGATGACGCAATGCCTGATCAACTTCTTCACTACTGAAGACTTTACACTTTTATTATAAGTGCACAGGACTTTTCCATTTTAAACGAACTTTTACAGGTCCTTAGGGGAATGATAAACATCTAGTAGTAAAGGACTTCGGATCGAACACCACTGAACGAATGATGATCTCCTAGTAGTGGATACATGGCCTCCAAGATTCACGTTTGGTGTTGATCTGTTCTAATCTCCTTAATTCTAATTAAATTTAAATTCAGCGATGATAGAAAAACTCAAAACCTCTGATTTGGTTTCTGAGACATATGGGGAAGGTATTCTCACGCAAAATAGTCCGTTCAGATCTCAGCTTTGCATCTCAATATAACTGGCATATTTAATTTCAAGGCACTGAATAAAATATTTGTTTAGCTTTCTTTTGACTATGCACTCTACTTTTTATTACGTTTTTTTTCCTCTCATGAGGAGAAATATGTCTGTTTGTCCTCAAGAAAAGTATTTTTCCTAGTTTTTCTTTCTGTAAGCATGCGCTTTGTATTGTGTGCGAAAAATTAAGAGATAAGACTTCGTGTAATTAAATATGAGAATGTATTTTCAAAAAGATAGCTGTGTTTTTACCACAAGTAGTAAGAAAACAACTCAACACGTTTAACGGAAAAATTTTACTTGCCAGATTGAAATAAACAAACGTGTTTGTGTTTTGATGGTGCTTTAAAACTGCAGTTTTGTATATAGATTTAATTCTATGAACTTGTCAGTTTCGAAAGAAAGCAATAAAAATTGTTGCTTCTTAAGCGCCATATTTTCTGTTGTATAAATCCCCTTCCCCAAACAAGTAAGAATTTTTCGTTTTTTGAATTGGTGTGAGTGGTAAGAGATTCTTATACCTCAGAGTGAATCCTTTTTAAGTTGATATAGCCATTTTCTGTCGTTGTGCAAATAAAGAGCATCTTGCGAATTGGCAACATTGTTCAATGATATTTTTCTCGTTAAAAATTAACATAGAATCATAAAAATGTTAGGGGTTCGTATCATGCCTAGTATTCTTAATAGCTCTTATTACATGTATACTGTCGTATGTCCTAGTTTTAATTGCTTTAGTAATCCGATTTATGCGGTTTTATTAACAGTGTTATTTTACTTTTGCTAGACTTTTAATAATATTTTATCATTTTGTTCTCTAAAGAATTTCACTTCTTTTTTTTTTTTTTTTTTTCCCCTACCTCTGCCATGTTTTGATTTTAAAAAAATTGAGTCTTTTACTTCAGAGGAATAACATTTGCTATAATTACATTTCTTCAAATGTTCAGAGACCACAGCTTACAAGGGCTTTGTCATGTGTTTTTAATAGCGGACTCGAGTATATTATTAATTAGAAAGATGGCACATGAAAGCTTTAAGCTATAAGATACTGCTACTTCCCTGTAGGTTTTCTTCCTGGTAGCAGAATGAGCTGCTTTGAAGGATTTTATGATTTTTGTCATATGTAAAATAATTATGGCCTTGTTTTCCAGAAAGTACTCCATAAAAGCATTCTTTTCCTCAGGTAGTATTCTTGCCATAATTAACCAGATTGTTTGCATCCAGTTTTTGATTGTTTTCCAGAAAGAAAAGTGCTTGTAAATTTTTTGCTTGCTGTTTGTCAAATTATGATTCTGATAGTAGCTATATATAATGAAATATCAAGCTCACAGCCCTTTCTCAACCTGTCTAGCTCAAATTATTGCACAGTGAGGCTGTATGAGGTTTCTTTCAGAGTCTTGCAAGTGATAGTATTCCAACTTTTTGTTAATGATCTAAAAAAAGTAAGGTAAAAGTATATTTACGAGTACCCCTTGGCGATTTTTGGCGGTACATGGATAATGAGTTTGTGCAATTCTTTGGCTTGTGTAATGGCGATTTTTGGTGCTATACAAAGCCAAAAACACAAGACAAAGAATTGTACAAACTCGGTATCCATGTACACATCGAACTATATTCACTTAAAAAGTCGGTTGATCTTTACAGTATGGTAACTGGTAGTTTGGCGACATTTTGGAGGCGATAAAGGTTACTACCTGGCACTTTGGTAATAATGTGAGCAGTAGTCAGTTCCGATTACGCATTATTTTGTGTGAGGGAAATGAGAGATCATGGGATATGTCATGTGATATTAATGGACGAATTACGGTTCTTTAATCGGAAAAGGGGGGAAATCGGGAAAAAAATCTGAAATTTTGCATTTGGCTTTATCTGTGTTGTGTGAAACAGTGTTCGTGAATTTTTGGATCCCATGCCATAACTAAAGTGAATTCGAAATGGGTATTTATGTATGTATTAATTTAATGTTGTGCTCATTTATATTTAAGTAGTGTTTTTGAATTTAATTATATTTTAATTAAATGATAGTTATTTTGTGAATTTTATGTTTGTTGGAATTTGGTATAACTTTTTAGTTGAAGTAAACATGCATGGAAATAATTTAAATATCTGACAATAAGTATTTGTAATGTTTGCGGTATGAATTCGTTGGTGACTTGTATAATGTAATAGATGATTTAGAGGTAAAAGTTTTTGGATATTTTATTTATTTTATTTGTGGAAATGTTCATTTACTTTTTCGCGATCAAGTAATTTCATATATGTTCTTTTTACACCGGTTTAAAGATTGAGAAAATTGTCATGTATTTTCGTGAAATTTTTCTAATTTATGAGAAAAAAGCAGTGTACATGGATATAGAGAAGGGTGTGCGCAATGCCATTTTTGTGGCAATTCTGGATGTTTTTTTAAGTAAAAATAAGTCGGCGTGTTACATGGTTTAGTGACATTTTTAATTAAATGATAGTTATTTTGTGAATTTTATGTTTGTAAGGAATTTGGTATACGTTTAGTTGAAGTAAACGTGCATGGAAATAATTTAAATATTTGACACTAAGTATTTGTAATGCTTGCGGTATGAATTCGTTGGTGACGTGTATAATGTAATAGATGATTTAGAGGTAAAAGTTTTTGGATATTTTATTTATTTTATATGTGGAAATGTTTTTTCATATTTCAAAGGGTAAATACTTTTTTTTTCGCGATCAGGTAATTTCATATTGTTCTTTTTACCGGTTTAAAGATTGAGAAAAATTGTCATGTATTTTCGTGAAATTTTTCTAATTTATAGAAAAAAGCAGTGTACATGGATATAGTGAAGAGTGTGCGCAATGCCATTTTTGTGGCAATTCTGGGATGTTTTTTTAAGTAAAATAAGTCGGCGTGTACATGATTTATGTGTATTGTTATTTTTTGAAAAAACGCGTAAGGAGTTTGTATTGTGGCACTTTTTCCCAATTTTGCAGTGAATATTTGTCATGATTAAGCAGTTTTGTTAGATAAAATTTCTAGCATAAGTGTAATTCGGCTAGTAGATTGTTGGAAGAAGTGTTCAGTAATAAAAAGAAAAAGAAACACGTCTTTACTTAGTGAAGACAAAATGGCGGCGGGAAAAAAAAATAGAGGGTTGCTGTAGGAGAGTTGGTCGCCAAATTTTCGCAAAAAAAACGCCAAGTTACCATAATGTAAAGATCAACCAAAAAGTCAAAGGAGCGGCCAACAAAAAAATATATAATCTCAATAAACTACATTTTAAATCAAACAATGAAATCATTTTAAAAAGGAAATTCATCCTTGCACTACACAAAGGAAATATCCACTTACCCTATTTATGAATTAACACGTCTTCAGTAAAACAAAATTCCTTAACAGCATCCAAAAGCTTCCTAAAATTATCTGAACTAGAATCTGTATACTGGCATTGCCACATAAATTCACAAAATAAAAGTAAAAAATATCCTCCGTAATGACATTCGACCGTACGCATTTCCGACGTTCAACCATACGCGTTTCCATCCTTCAAACAGGACAGCTAATAATGGCTACTAAGTAAACCTTCATTTACATACCAGTCAAGTAATGCTCTTTTCCTCTTTCTTTCCAAATTGTACAGAAACTTCAAATTAATCTTTCCACATTCAGCCATTTCACCGTCTAAACCACAAAACAAGTTTTATACTTCCTAACCAACACACATCACAAGCCGTTACAAATTTACTGCAATCATGCAACTGATTATGTCATAATAGGTTTTGCATACCATTCAAGTACTCAGACTACCATAAATGAAACAACAACTTGGCAATAAATGAAACTGCAACTTTGCGATAATACAAGGGGGTACCCTTCTGTGTACTCTAACCAGAAGTAAGAGTTTATAGCTCTATATAAATGGGGATATGATGAGTCGGATCTCATGCAAGTGCATGACATGTGCAATGCCTGATCTCTATATCATATTTAAATACTGCAAATCATTTTAAGGCAACTTTTTTCTGTCTCTCACACATAAATGTATATACCTGTATACATTTATGAAAATTTTCTAATAAATAAATGTATACATTACCTGTATACATTTATTTATTAGAAATATACATAAATGTATATTTCTGTTAGTAGCAGATTGTTTTAAATAAAAATTGTAGGGTGAGGAATTTGTAGGATTCTATACAGTATGCTGACACTGTTTTGATGGTAATAAATTCTAGAGATAGGAAAAAAGAATAATTCCTACCACTTCATAAAATGATTAAATGTGATGTCGACACCACTGATCAAATTTGTAATTAATACAATTTATACTGAATTTGTAACTTATTGGCAACTCAGTATTCAGTATTTTATAACATGCTGAGTGAAGGGGGTTAATGCTTTGGTTGTGTATGATTCTTTTATAAAAATTTATATATGACTTTCTCATATTTTTAATACCTTTACATGTTTTGCATATATCTAAATTGTCATTTTATGTATGACATTATTCTCAGTAAGGGAGGAAAAAAGTAAATTAGTGTCTCGGATGAAAACATTCCATGGAAGTGCAGTACTCACAAATTAAATATCCGTGGTTTAATATGAGCTTCTGAAAACATATGAAAATTTTTAAAAAGAAAATAATTCAGGAATTACTAAAAGGTGTTAAATAAGAATTAGCTCAATGTTGTTGAAATACTGTAGAGACATTAGGTTAATTGGAAGCAGAAAGATGAAAAATATGCAACCGCCTTCGCTGGGAATCGAACCACAGACCTCTGGAATACCGGCCCAGCGTAAACTAAAATAAATGACAAACAATTCAAAAAACAACAATAATGACAGAAATTCATAGCAAAAAAAAAAAGAACATAACATTCTACAAAATAAGATGTACTTACCATTGTGAATGCTTCTTCAAACAGCAGAAATATCGATTTCAAACATCAGCGAAATAACAATTCAAAACAAGGAACACAAACACTTTCATCAAATATTCTACAAACAAATTTTAATGTTATCCCACTCAACAGTTCTTACAATTTCCACAAATTTGTTGAAAAGATTTTCTCCCATTTCAGAACAGTAATGAAAAAACATATAAACTGCCAAATAAAACTCAAAATCTCATTTCCGATTATAAGTAGTCAATGTAGCTTTAACATGCCGCCACGTACTCTCTATTGTATTTATATGACAGCCAGACTCACTATACACAAAATTGGTACTATGATTCAAAACCTTCTTTTCCTAAATTCTTGTAGGATTTCTAGCCATCCGAAAAAATAGTTGTTACCAGGCTCAATCGACTCTTTAATGCACTGCAACAGAGTTTCCCTACTTCTATCATGCCACAGCCACCGAAAACAACCTCCCTGATGCTCTTTCCATACCTCCAAACAACCACTGCCCCTCAACATGATGGCCATGATGATATTTCCTTTTGCCGAACTTAGACTCATCAATTTCAACCACTATACACTTCCCCCTATCTTCTAAGA